CCCCCCCTTTTCCTCCTTTTCCCCTCTTACTCCCCCTCACCCTCGGTCCTTTGTGGTGGGCTGGGCGAATCTTGGCCCGCGCTGGCGCTGCGCTACCTAACGGCCCGAGCCTGGGGTATCGCCGTGCGGTCTGGTCTTCCCCCTCCGTCGCACCCCTCCTTTCCGCTCCGAGCACGGGTGGGAGTATACTGCGACCCCCCAGCGCATCACACTCTCTGCAACCAGCTTCACACGTGAAGGTCGTGACAGCACCTTCGTCCAGGAAGTTCGCAGTGCACCCATCTACATCTGGAGTGCACATTTGCTTGCACCTACCTGCAAGAGTGTGTGAAAGGAAACAAGGCCGCAGTGTGAGCGTGGCTTTGCTTTGGATTGTGGCACGCGATATTGCCATATTCCCTGTAGCTCAAACCTTGATAACCCGACGCTGACTCTTCGCATCTCTCATCACCGTCAATTGGCCGTTTACGGACGCAATGTTATGCCTTGTGATGGGGTATTGCCGAGGTTGATAAGCAAGCAGTCTTCGAGGGAGTGGGGTATCGCCGTCGCCATTTTACTCTGCAGTTTATTCATGATTTTTCTTCCACCGCGAGTTGGTCACGTGGGAGGGGGGACCTGGCGACGTTCTCTTTTCATTAGGAACAAAAAGCAATTTATTTGACTTTAATAACAAAAACAAAATTAAACTATTCAACATATTGCACAAATTCACCCGCCCGCAGTATTCGTGCACCGCATAAGTTTACACTACAAAACAATTATCACACTAGTCACTCTCACACTCACTAATAATCACGCTACTCACACAATCACGCACATTTACTCATCACAGTATAAAAATCGCCGCGCGCAAGTGACTTACTCTACGGACGTTATGGCTCCCCTAGATTTGTCACACGCCACTTAAATATTCGTGTCCGCGTTGACGTCACACGGGCACACCAGGCCTCTGGCTGGTTGAAAACACTTCGACGGCGTATAATCGCCACCGCCTTTCATTGACTAAATGTCTCACCGATCGATCATTTCGATGGATAATTTCATCCAATTCGGCCAGTGTCTTCAGTGTTTGTTGTTGGCCTCCTCCTGCGGGAGGCCGCCACTCCGGTCGCTGTTCTGGCTGATGTGGTTGAGGATGTTGTTCTGCAGCTGGCTCAGGTCCTTGAGCTCGCAGCCGGCGGCCGCCGCGTCGTCGCTTTCCCGTCGGCCGGCCTGGTCGAGGTGCAGCTTGGAGCTGTACATCTGCGCCTCGGGCTGCACGGCCGACACGACGGGCTTCACGTCCTCGTCGTCAAAGATCTGCACGTCTTTGACGAAGTACCACACGCCGGCGTCGAATAGCGTCCCGATCAGAACGAAACCTAAGGGGCAGAGGCGGCGTCGAACATCACGGGGAGCTCGTAGGTCGAGGGGAGCAAATAAGGAAGGACTGAATGAGAACGAGAGAACTTACCTGCGGATGTGAGATTAAGTAGGTACCGCAGTGATTCCCCGTTGTAGAGCCAGCAGTTGCCATTGCCCGAACACGTCTTTCCCCACACTAAGCATGTTGCATCTGCAAGATGAATGTAGGGGTGATTTCTTGATAAATTCCTTACCGAATGACCGGGTTTGCTGCCATAAGGCTCTTTTTACTATACGTACCCATTAAGTAGCCAAAGAAGATGGGCGACGGCATGAAGGCGAACAGGCTCATGAGGGTGATGCCGAGCCCCATGGCCACCGGCTTGTCCTTCTCTTCGACGCACCTGCAGCAGGCCAAGGACATACACACAGAGATTACGTTGGCCTTTGGCGCGTCGAAGAGGTATACAACTCAACGGACAGAGCGCCTTACCTGACGGACACGAGGAAGTTCGTGGCCCTGCCGGTCGCGCCGCTGAACTTGAGCACGCAGACCACGGCCAGGAACATGTAGAACATGTGCGAGCAGTCGACGGGGCACGCGCCCGGGGTGGCAATGCCGCCCGCGGTGAACGTGTCAGTGCCGAAGGGCCTCGGGGACGCGGCGGGCGTGGTCGTCGCCAGGGTGGTCGTCTCGTGCAGCAGCGTCGTCGCGTTGCCCGGCAGCGGCGCGATGCAGCTGCAGTTCTGGTACACCTTGGCGCCGCTCGGCAGGCGGTCGTAGTCGCGACAGCCGGCGTGGCACGCCGAGATGTAGGTGGTGTAGCCGTCGGACGCGCACACCGGGGAGTACTTGACGTACTCGCACAGGCAGCCCGCGTTGCACTGGAAGGACGTCTCCAGCCTGGGTGGTGAAGAAAAGGCGGTGACCCAAAACGTACAAGTCCAACACTCAGACATCAATAGTTATCCTTGGTTTTGTTTTTTGTTTTCAACCAACTTTGCTGGGAATAAAAATATTCAATTCTTTTAAAAGTGTACTTTTGTTAGATGAGGTGAACGGCCAGGCGGCTGACTTGACCTTAATCCAACATCGCGCGCAAAATCTTCCGGTGTGCAAAACATAAAAAAGTTGATCACGATCAGTTGTGCGTAATCAGTTGGACGGGTGCGTCCAAAGTGTCGGCCCAGATAAGAGCGCAGGGGCAGGGTTGGGCGCCCGCCAACCGGCAGATAGGCAACCCGTCGCGCTCGGGAGTCCCTGCATTGCCTATCCTCGGGGCGTCGTGGGCATGGGTTGTGTAAGTGGGCACGGGTTGTGTGAGTAAACTAACTACTCACTCTCCGTTGGGCTTGAGCAGGCCGCCGTAGCTGTCGTTGTCCGGGCAGCCGAGGAAGATGTACGAGATGATGCCGGCGGCCGAGACGAGCCCGACGAACGTGTTCCACAGCGCCATCTGGCGGGCGTTGGGCCGGTACTTGGTGATGACGAGCCCGGACAGCAGGATGCCGATGCCGGAGAACACGATGCCGACCGTGCCCGTGACCAGGCTGGAGCTCGACGCCGACTGCCGGTACTGCGTCTCGATGTACTTGGGCATGTAGATCCAGTACGGCATGTAGCCGAAGAAGTAGAAGACGGAGGCGGCGTTGTTGCACATGAGGGTCGGGTTCTGCATCAGGCGCTTGAACGTCAGCAGCATATCTGCGGGTCGGCAAAAGTGCCGGAGAGTCAGGTATTTATTTCGCCAACTTGGTCGTGATTTAATTTTTGTTTGCAGGGGCGCGCCACCCACCTTTCAGCGAGGCCGAGGAGTGCTCCTCGGCCACGCCGCCCTCCTTCTCCTTGAGCTCCTTGGCGGCGGCGCGGCGCGCGGCGGCCCGGGGCAGCATCTTGGGGAAGAGGCCGAGCACGGAGGCGAAGAGGAACAGCAGCGCGGCCAGGATGATCCAGCCCAGCCACCAGGCGCCCAGCCAGCGCGGGTCCGTGTTGTCGATGGTGGGCGACAGCGACGGCGAGATGTACAGCTTGAGGCAGAAGGAGGCCAGGGCGTAGCCGATGCACGGGCCCAGCATCCGCAGGAAGTAGGAGAAACCTGGAAACGGAAGCACACGGATAAGGTCAGGACGAACTTTCGACAGAACCACCGCGGGGCTCGCACCCGAGCTCGTTTGGAGAAACTGACTGATAAGCGCGGGGGTCTTGTCCTTCTTGATGTTATCGTCCATGTAGGAGACGCCGATGGTGTAGTACAGTGAGCCGCCGATGCCCGACACGAGCTGCGCAAGGAAGAGGATGGCCACCGGGGCCAGGTTGCCCTCCTCTGCGTCGCACTGGATGGCGGGCTGGCCCTCGAGCGCGCACATGAGCTTGCGCTCCATTTTGTCTGCGGCGGAGATCAGAAAGCCCATGTCATTGTCACACAAACACAGACACACACACACACAGGTTATTTGGAGCTGTGCACAAAAATTAAGCCATTTCAGGGATGGAGGAAAATTTTCTTGGGTTGGTGAAGTTTTATCATGGCGTCTGAAAGAGCCTTCAGGGAGCTCAATTAGACCGCCGACGCGAAAAGTACCCTCTCCCCCCAAATAAAATATAAAACAAGCACATACACAAAGCAAAAACACGAGGTAATTTCTGCAAGGCTTAAAAACTGCGTAAAGGGCGTAAAGGGAAGGGTGCGTATTTTTTTTCTCACCCCGCTCTTCCCTGGACGCGTTGCGGTCGAAGACGGCGCCGTGTTCGACGGTGAGCGCGAGCGAGTCCTCGCCGGGGCCGTACATGAGGTGCGGCAGGGCGGTGAGCAGGCAGTAGAGCACCACGGTGTAGATGCCGAACGCGATCCATCGCGGCCGGTGGCCCTTGCCCGCGTAGTAGCTCAGGAAGACGGACACGAACAGCTGCGTGAAGTCGTTGCCCACCGTGATGACGCCTGAAGCAGTGCGGGAGTGACAGAGACACAGACGTTACGTAAACGTTATGTAAACCTTCAGTAAGTGCACCATCACCATTTTATTGCAACACACAAACTATTTACTTTATTTTACGTTTTCTCGTCCGGTGTGCACTACGCATTTTTTGTGAAATAATTGCACTGCATATTACTGCTGCAATGAGCGAAGTGGCGGCCGCGGGCGGGGCTTACACGGCAGATAACACGTGTCTGGAGAGATCCAGTGCCGGTCAGTAGCTCAACGCAACCGATAAGGTGTGTCTAGAGACCGCGGCGCGATATCGAACGCAGCGCGGCATCGACCAGAGTCGGAATGTCGCCATTATCATCGTAATAAAAAGGGTCAGTTCAGTTCGTCCCTGTGCCGACTGTGAGTATAGTGCGAGTAAAGAGATCGCCTGTTATGGAAGTGCGACAGAGTCGAGATGTCGACGACTCACGCACACGGACAACCACTCTCTCTCTCTCTCGCACTCGTTGGTCATACACGCGACGGGCCGGCGGCTCCCGGGGCGTTATGACTGCCGCACTTAGCGTTATCACCAGCACGGCCGCCGCCGCCGCCCCGTCGCGCACATCGTACCCACCGATCGTCTTGCTGGGGATCTTGAACCTCTTCTCCAGGGTGGTGATGATGCCGTTGGAGTAGGCGTAGCTGGCCGAGAAGATGCAGCCCAGCAGGCCGTACACGAGCACGTACACATTCTTAGTGGCGAACCTTGAACACGAGCGGAAGGGCGTTACACACGGTGCGACAGGAGGAGTGCCGCACGTGAGGCAGCGGTAACGCTAATCCCCCAGCCAACATGGCACCATACTCCCGACGACGGCGTCACAGTGACGCCGAAAAAAGGCGTCGGCACTCCCTACCGAAACGGAGGCAAAACTATCCGAGTATGCATGGGCACTGGGTAACGGCACGGCTACAAGGGTGGTTATGGTACCTCTGCAGCCAGGCTCCTCGGATTATCCCGATGCCGCACGAGGTCTCCTCGGTGATGGGCAGGTCGCGGTACAGGTCCTCCAGGTCGCTCTTCCTGGCGTCGGGCGCGACGATCACGGGGCTGCTGCTGCTGTTCTTCTTGGCGTCGCCGGCGGCGGCCAGGTTGCGCTCGAGCAGCGGGGCGCGCACCGCGGCCCCGTTGCTGTCCTTATCCTTCTCGGTGGCGGACATGTCGAGCGTGCTCTCGAGCTCGGCCTCGAGCAGCGCACCCTCCTCCGGTCTGCTGCTGCTGCTGCTGCTGCTGCGGTAGCGCGGGCCGGGGGTTGCTGGTCCGGTTGCTGCTGCTGCTGCTGCTGCTCCGGTTGACGCTGCTGGTCCTGCTGACGCTGGCTCGGCTGGCCCCGGCCCGGTTGACGCTGACCCGGCTGCTACAGAGGCTCTGCTGCCGATGCACCGCGCGGCGCGCCGCCCCGCTCACCGCGGCCAGCGCGGGGCGCTGATAACAACGCCGCCCCATCTCTCTCGCACCACATCCCTCCCGGGGCCCCCGCCGGGGCGCAGCCAGTCGCCGCACCTCCACACCTGTGTGCGACAGAGACAGCCAATCGTGATACAGAATAATAAAAACCAAACCGCGCGCTCCTCGCGAGAAAGAAGAGGAGGAGAGGTAAAGGCGCGGAGCTGCGGGGGCGGGTTAGGGGCCGGCCCAACGCGCGCGATCAGCATCGGCGAGCCACTCGCCAGGTCGCCGACTCCTGATAAGAGGCTGCCATGCTCGGTAAATAAAGCCGCCGAGCCAGAGACGAGTCCTGCGACTGACCACCACTCCAGGCGCCCCACCGCCACCGCCCGCAGGCCCCGCAGGCCGCAGGCTCTCCCTACTATGTACTCCCTACGGCGGCGGCCTGCCCTGCGGCCCTTGCCCGTTTGAATCACCCACAACCACCGTGACTTGCTGCTACTATGCTTTCCCAAAACTTCGCGCATAACAAAAGGGCGACGGGGCAGACATAGACCATGACGCGGCCGCCGGCGACGGGAGCGCGCGCCGTAATCTTACCTCCGTATTTGAAGAGAGCGGGAGACGCTTTCGTAACGCGTTCGACGGTCGGGGCCGTCACGTGTGCAAGCCGCACTGCATGCCGGGTGGCAGCGCGTCTCCAAACACACGGCCGCCAAAGTGCAATGAGGGCCTGTCTAGCTCGTATTACAGCACTCTTCGCGCTATGCTCGGCGGTAATATTGACCGATGATTTTGGCCGTGGCATATGGTCGTACGCCATCCAAAGGCCATACGCACTTCAGATTTACGTGTCTGTTAGATTTGGCACACTGTTAAGCTCCAGGGATCCCGCGCTTTATAGAGGTTCCAAATATTAAAGCCTCTTTAATTTGTTTCCATAGAGTTGATGGGGGACAAATTTGCAGAGAGAGGGCAGACTCGGACTGGACTGTGTTTCTAAGTGGATGAGCTGCGGACAGGGGTGCGCCATGGTCGACGAAAGGCTCAGCAGCGCAGACTCAGCCTTCGCTACGCATCGCTCCGCCCCGCGCCGCCACGTCCCGCCCTGCCCGCCACGCTACGCCCCGCCAGACCACCGCGCGCTGCCCCGCGGTCCGCAACTGAGAACTGCGCCTCCATTGTGAGGCTAATCCCCAGTTCAATTGCGACGCGAGTCTAGAGAGCCACGGACGGGAGCAGGGGGCGGGGGGCGAGGTGGGGTGACCACGCGCCTGCCCGTGGAGAGAAGGGAACAGAGACGCACTCGACGACGTGCGCACAGCTGTCCTCGGTGCGCCGAGCCGGAGAAGGCCGTGCTCCTGGCCCCACGCGCTCGCGGCCCTGCCCCTGGGCCCCACGCCCCGCACCACCGCGACGTCCTTCCTTATCGCACCACCACGAAGTTTCATGAGGCTGCGTGGACGTCGTTGTTTGCCGCAGCAGCCGGGGAGGATCTCACGGCAACTCGCGGCTGTCGAGCTCAAATACGAAACAAGCTTCGGCACACACGGCGGCCGCCGCGCTTCCTTGGCGGTGGCGCGGGCCCACCCCACCCTGCCCCACTACGCTCTCTGCCCCACTCCCCCGCCCCTGCCCTCTTGACCTGCGAGTCCTCGCTGTCCTGGGCGCGTCCGGCCGCACGCGAGGACGCAGACGAGGCCCTCGAGGTGGCGGTGGAGGACTCACCCACACGACACCACCCGCCCTGCCTCGAAGAGCAGCCCGGCCGACGTTACGTGACGTTGCCAAGCCCGGGGGTGTTGTTGGTGCTGTCGGTACCCGTTTGGGGTTGGCCGCCCTAGTCCGTCGCCGTGCCTTCCTGGTGCGCGACGTGCAGCTCAGCAGTTGGCAGCAGCGCGGCCAGCACTACGGCCGGCCCCCCGGGGCCCAGCCCAGCAGGCCCAGCACGGCCAGAGTTTCGCCGAGCAGGACAAGCCACTTTGTGAGGAGGAGGCCGGCGCGGCGGGGAGGTGCGGTGCGGTGCGGCGCGGAGGCGAGCCTAGGGCCTCCAGATTATCTCATCCAGCGCGGTCATGTGTCGTCCAGGCCGCGCCGTCCCACTCGCCTGGTGCCCCTGGCGGCCCGTCGTCGTTGTCGTGGTCCTCACCCCAGCCTCTCTTCCCCTGTCCCCCCACCTCATGCTATCCTCCCGATGGGCCCAGCAGTGACGCACCTCCCCGATGATGGGAGTTGGGAGTCCTCATCATGCGAGCCGCGTTGAAGAACAGTGGCGTTCGTCAAAGAATCTGATTCAGATCGCGACACCCTATAGCTCGAAATGATCATAATTAACTGTGTAAAATTGACTGTTGGGAACCTGGTTGGCTGAGCGAAGTAAGCGAAGACAAATTACTCCAGTGACCAAAACGTCCCTATCTTGGCAAACACGTAGCGGATATTCAGGGTGTGCTAGCCCTCTGTATAAAAAAACGAGTCGTCTGATATGGCGGATGAGTGATCGTCCAGAAATTACGTCGGGTTTCCTTCGATTCATTTTCAGGATTCGATTCAAAGTCAGGAGCTCGGCGCCTGCGAGACTTAGGGTAGGCCGACCCGCACTACATGCTTGCACTGCAGGCACGATTTTGCCTACCCATTAGGCGGCATGAGAGCTTGCATTTGCTGAATTTGTCAGGTTTAGGACGGAGAATGGCGGACGCGCTTTCTCGGTGATCCAAACCCGAAGGGGTATAGAAGGCAGCAGCCTTGAAGCCCTCTGGAGTTTTGGAGAAACTCTACTTACGTTTTGTGCCCTTTCCCCATGGTGTGGCGGAATAGAAATCAGCAGGCGTTCATCTTACTTTGCCTCTAAGGCCACGAAGGATCCTCTCCGTAAAAAACGGACCGCTGCTGGCTTCTCTCCCGCCCAACCCCTCTTCTGCTACACCTGGCTCTGTAATTTTTCATTAAACGTGCTTGGATCAACTTCCAGGATGGTGGATCCCCGCTCGATCTTCACCCCCTACCCCCTTTTCCCTCCGTTCAGGAGCCCTTAGGTGAACATGCATCCCCCACCCCCCTTAAAAAATCACGCTGGATTTAGGGCGATGCGGGGAACATTTTCCACTGTACCGCGTATCTAAACAGAAGGTGCTTGTTACATGGCATACTGAGAGGCCGTGCAAGTGACTCCGTGGCGCTCTCTCACTATGAGCTCGGGCCTGCGGGTCATCGGGGTGTCCCTGCTAAGTAAAGGCGGGGGCTTTGAGGCGTGCTTGGAGTCGTGCCGGAGGCGTGTCGGAGGGATGTGCTCTCTGTCGCTCCGGCTCGCTCCAGCCCCGATAAGGCCTTGTCCCGGACCACCGTCCACCCCCACCCCCACCCCGTATCGTCGCCGCGCTCGCTCCTTTCTTCATCTTCTCCATCATACTTTTTAAGCCCTAGAAGCTTAAACCGTCTCCTCCTCATAATTTTTATGCATAT